GAGTGTGGCATGAGTACGGCCGCCTGTGGTGAGTGTGGCATGAGTACGGCCGCCTGTGGTGAGTGTGGCATGAGTACGGCCGCCTGTGGTGAGTGTGGCATGAGTACGGCCGCCTGTGGTGAGTGTGGCATGAGTACGGCCGCCTGTGGTGAATGTGGCATGAGTACGGCCGCCTGTGGTGAGTCTGTCTCTTATACACATCTAGATGTGTATAAGAGACAGGCCTTAAATGTAGAGCCGCTACCGCTACCGCTACTGAAAATGTAGCGGCCGCTAGTAGCGGCCGCTACATGTAGCGCGCTACTGCCCACCTCTGTGAATTAATAAGAGATAGCAAAAACGGATATTAATGAACATAACAACTTTTCAAACCGAATCTAAATATTCATGCTGTTTTTTTATATGAAATTTCAGTCTAATGGCACTCACTTGACGGTTCGTTTCGAGGATTAACGGTTCACGTCGAGGCGCGCGGTTCGTAATTAGTTTATTGAATAAATATAATGCAGAGACACCGAACAACCTCCTCCTCTCACGCCCAACGGCACACTGAGCCGCGGCGGTGCTCCGCCTCGTAAAATTGTGCGCAACCTCGTACAACTTACCTTTGTCGTCATCAATGTTAATTGAATAGTTTTGTGCGATTATAATAATAAAAATAAGTAAATATGGGATCTTTTAATCAAGTGTTCAATAAATATTATACACAATTAAACATTATTTTATTTAAAGTTATGCTATGGTACGCAGACAACGGTTCTAAAGTTTTTTAATATAACCAATTGAATTAAAATTAGAGCCTTTATGTTCGTTGATGAGTATTGGAACAACTGACGTAAACTGAATGAAACGGGTGGGTCTATATGACCCACTTAGGTGAGGCAACCGCATCCAAATATCGATGCACTCTTGTGACTCACTTGCCCCGTTTGTGGGTCATAATGAAATATTATTACCTATTAAATTTAAGGTACGACTCACTCATTGCGTCATAAATGATTTGATGCCACAAGTGAGTCATGCCTGAAATTTAAAGGGCCAGTAATGGGTCACTGTGACCCACAAACAGGTCAAGTGAGTCACAAAAGCGCATCGATATTTGGGCGCGGTTGAGTCATCTAAGTGGGTCATCCAGACCCACCCATTTCTCTCAGTGTAGTTTCCTACTTTAATTTCCATGTTAATTTATAAAATTCAGGGCATTTATTCTTTAATATTAAATGCATTAAAATAATATACTTTAATCGAATGACGATTTTGATTGAAAAATGTCAGCCAAGAAGCTGACTCTTGACATGAAACGTCAGTCAAAAGCGACACTGAAACTGAAATGTCAGCCAAAAGGCATTAATATACCAATAGCGTCAGCCAACTCACTAGCGTCAACCACTCACTTGGCTGCCGCAGAGGCTGGCGTCAGCCACTCACTTGGCTGCCGCAGAGGCTGGTGNGGTCAGTGTTAGCACTAGTGGCCAGTGTCAGCACTAGTGGTCAGTGTTAGCACTAGTGGCCAGTGTCAGCACTAGTGGCCAGTGTCAGTACTAGTGGTCAGTGTTAGCACTAGTGGCCAGTGTCAGCACTAGTGGTCAGTGTCAGCACTAGTGGTCAGTGTCAGCACTAGTGGCCACTGTCAGCACTAGTGGTCAGTGTCAGCACTAGTGGCCACTGTCAGCACTAGTGGCCACTGTCAGCACTGTTTTTTAAGCTGCTACTGACACTTCTAGTATGTCAACACTGACGGATTTCACTGCCAGCCTGTCACTAGTTTCACTACTCACGCTGCTAGTGACGCTGCTGCCACTAGTGACGGGTTTAGCTGGCACTAGTTTCTTGCCAGCGTCGCGCCTGCCACTCATGCAAGCCACTGAGTGGCTCTTAGTGACGCCGCTTGAGGAGTTGCCACTAGCCTGGGGGGAGGGGGTGGTAAATTTTTTATTATTTAATTATCGATGCATAAATAATATTTTGTCTCTGTATTTATGGAAGAAGAGGCACAAATGTTAGAGTCATGACAGAAATTAAAATGCTTGATTTTATGATTGAAAATTTAAGATAATATTCAGGCCACAATAAATTGAATTTGGCGGCATTATTATAAAAAAAATACAATGATTTATTGAATGAATATTTAATTTTAGTATCAGCAAGCACATTTTACAAGGAACTTTACTAGTGCCATCATTACCTAATTATACTGTCCTCTGTTAGCATATTAGTGCATCTTCTTTGTAAATTTCAATGGCTCATCTATGCAAGTTCATTTTCATACACATTGTGAATAGCTTACTAGGACAATTTCCTCGATGGTTTGCTATCAAATTTTCTATTGAGCATCTCTGAGCTTAACAAAATGTATTTTACTTTGTAATATGCGAAACAAATTTTAAACTACCTGCTGTTAAAACTGCAGTTCCTCGTAAGTTCCGCGCAGTTGTACTTTAATGTAACCCTGGTGATGTCTCTTAGTTTGATCAAATTCAGACAAAGAGAAAAGCTTAAATTCAAAATTAAAAGAAAGAAATTCGGTTATGCCAGCGGATTTTGATTTCAAAATTAACTTGAAGCTCCCTCCGTGGACCACAGATGAAGGCTCAGTTCGGCAACAGTTTGGTTGTAATATTCCCACAAAAATAGGATTTTTAAACAAAATTTCTCAAATGACAACTAAAACACAATATTGTGTCCAATTATAAAGTGAAATTTAAGCAATATTCTGGTATGTCAGGATATTGCTGACGTCTTCTGCTGACCCATTGTTTTATTTTCAGTCAAACTGTGGAAAGGTCTGAGAACATGGTTGAATTAATTAATGTATTAATTCAACCATGGTCTGAGAATACCAGAAATATACCAGATATTAGCTAACATACCCGATCACAATTCAGAACAATATATGTTGTTGTGACATACTAGAAATATACCAGATTTTAGCCAACATACCCGATCACAACAATATATATTGTTGTGACATACCAGAAATATACCAGATCACAACAATATATATTGTTGCGACATACCAGATAATATCAGATTTTAGCCAACATACCAGATCACAATACCGCCAGGCACCGTCTGGACCAGATATATACCAGTCGGCAGCACTATCGACCTGATCATTCCTGGAAGCTTTGATGGCAATGCGAATAACTCAAGACGAACTGTCGGTCTTCCGTAAGATTACGTGTGATTTAACCTTCCTTCAAGACCCATTTCCCTCTGTCTGAGTCACTTTTCTGACGTATTTCCGTCTGTCTGACTCAATTTTCTAACCCATTTCCGTCTATCTGACTTACTTTTCTGACGTATTTCCGTCTGTCTGCCTCACTTTTCTAACCCATTTCCGTTTGTCTCACTCACTTTTCTGACCCATTTCCGTCAGTCTGACTCACTTCTCTGACGTAGCTCAACGACCCCTAAAGATCAATCTTCATCGCTGGCCTGACAAAACCCAGAGATTTTAGACTATAACGTTCAGAAAAACAAATGTGTCATTGTCCCGATAACAACACGTTTTTTTTCCACAGTGAGTGCGAAAGCGGCCAATACCAATAATCTTTCTAGTTTTCTATGATCTGGAAACTCACGTAAGAAAATTTTGATGGCAAACTGTGGCAGAAAACGCGAAATTTTTGAATGTGTGACGTATACATCTCCCCCGACTCAATGTGAAAATTTTAAAAACTGGAGAAAGTAGGAAAATTCTGAATTTCAGTTATTGCAAGTAAAAATATTAGGAATTTTATACACGACACGTCTCAGCACGTGTCCCACGTATACACGACACGTCTCAGCACGTGTCCCACGTATACACGTCACGTCTCAGCACGTGTCCCACGTATACACCTGTCTCTTATACACATCTAGATGTGTATAAGAGACAGGGCTGCTCTCGCTCAATTAGTCCTCTCTCTTATTCTCTCACTGGCTGCTCTCGCTCAATTAGACCTCTCTCTTATTCTCTCACTGGCTGCTCTCGCTCAGTTAGACCTCTCTCTCATATACTCCTCAGCTTCTCTCGCTCAAATTAATTCCATTCTCATTTACTTTACTCTTTCTCACTTGCTTCTCTGTCTCACTTATTAATACTTGATTATACTTCACTACCTCTCTTTTTCAGCTCGCTCATCAATAACTATTTTTCAATTATTTATTCCTCTCTCTTTTCTCACATTCCCTCTTATCCTCTTGCATTCACCTCTCTTCCCTCTATACACATCCCCCTCATTCGCAGTTTGCATCTCATCTCCCACCCTGAAGCGTTCTCTCAAGTTCTGTTATACCAATAATCTTTCTAGTTTTCTATGATCTGGAAACTCACATAAGAAAATTTTGATGGTAAACTGTGGCAGAAAATGCGGAATTTCTGAATGTTTGACGTACTTCTCCCCCGACTCAATGTGAGAATATTAAAGTCTGGAGAAACTAGGAAAATTCTAAATTTCAGTTAATGAAAAATAATATATAACTCGGTACTCACTGCAGTGAGTGACAGAGAGCGCATTTCTCGTCGACGAAAACGTGAAGTCATGACGGACAGACGGACAGACAGACAGACGGACATGGCTAGCACAATAGTGCATTTTTTCCATAAATGAAAAAATGCGCTAAAAATTAAGAATTTTATACACGCCACGTCTCAGCACGTGTCCCACGTATACACGTCACGCCTCAGCACGTGTCCCACGTATACACGTCAAGTCTCAGCACGTGTCTCACGTATACACGTCAAGTCTCAGCACGTGTCCCACGTATACACGTCAAGTCTCAGCACGTGTCCCACGTATACACGTCACGTCTCAGCACCTGTCCCACGTATACACGTCACGTCTCAGCACGTGTCCCACGTATACACGTCAAGTCTCAGCACGTGTCTCACGTATACACGTCAAGTCTCAGCACGTGTCCCACGTATACACGTCACGTCTCAGCACGTGTCCCACGTATACACGTCACGTCTCAGCACGTGTCCCACATATACACGTCACGTCTCAGCACGTATCCCATGTATACACGACACGTCTCAGCACGTGTCCCACGTATACACGTCACGTCTCAGCACGTGTCCCACGTATACACGTCACGTCTCAGCACGTGTCCCACGTATACACGTCACGTCTCAGCACGTGTCCCACGTATACACGTCACGTCCGAGTTATTTTATCCACATTACAATTGGTCGCTTAACTCGTAAAATAAATTATATCGTAGAGCCACAAAGCCGCCCAACACACAGGTAGGAATAGCATTACAGAGTAGCAGTTTCTGTAAACCTACTCCTCACGTAGAAATAGCATTAGAAGGTAGGAGAAAAAATCGGCCCATCACTCAGGTAGGAATAGCATTAGAATGCATTAATTATTATTAGAGGTCAGTCAATCACTCAGGTAGGAATAGCATTATTGAGCAGCATTCACAGTAAACCTTCACCTCACGTAGGAATAGCATTAGAATGCAGTAGGTAAATAGCAGCACATCACTCAGGTAAGAGTAGCATTAGAATTCATTAATTATAATTAGAGGTCAGTCAATCACTCAGGTAGGAATAGCATTATGATTCTCCGGTCGAGGCTGAGGACACTTCACAGGTGTGAATGGTTCACCACAGCTGCGAAGTGGTGAACCTTCGGTGCTAGTGAAGCTGGTGAATCAGTTGGGCTGGTGACTCTGTTGGGCTAGTGACTCAGTGAAGCTAGTGACTCTGTTGGGCTATTGACTCAGTGAAGCTAGTGACTCAGGGAAGCCAGTGACTCAGTGAAGCTAGTGACTCGGTGAAGCTAGTGACTCAGGGAAGCCAGTGACTCAGTGAAGCTAGTGACTCGGTGAAGCTAGTGACTCGGTGAAGCTGGTGACTCAGTGAAGTTAGTGACTTAGTGAAGCTAGTGACTCAATGAAGCTATTGGCTCAGTGAAGCTAGTGACTCAGTGAAGCTAGTGACTCGGTGAAGCTATTGGCTCAGTGAAGCTAGTGACTCAGTGAAGCTAGTGACTCAGTGAAGCTAGTGACTCAATGAAGCTAGTAACTCAGTGAAGCTGGTGACTCAGTGAAGTTAGTGACTTAGTGAAGCTAGTGACTCAATGAAGCTAGTGACTCAGTGAAGCTGGTGACTCAGTGAAGCTGGTGACTCAGTGAAGTTAGTGACTTAGTGAAGCTATTGGCTCAGTGAAGCTAGTGACTCAGTGAAGCTAGTGACTCAGTGAAGTTAGTGACTTAGTGAAGCTATTGGCTNACTGTTCAGCCATCACTATTCAGCCATCACTATTCAGCCATCACTATTCAGCCATCACTATTCAGCCATCACTATTCAGCCCTCACTATTCAGCCATCACTATTCAGCCATCACTATTCAGCAGTTACTGGCTATAATGGTGTGCCCGGAGCTGTGCACCAACGTGATGGTGAGAATAGTGACGTCTGTCATCCTCATCACGGCCGTGGTGCGTTGTGGCTCATACACCATACATGTGGATGGTGTAATGAATACTATAATGAATCTAAAGTTATTTCAATGAATTTCGAGTAATTTTAAGGAATTTCGAGTAATTTTAATGAATTTCGAGTAATTCTAATGAATTTTGAATAATTTGAGTGAATTTCGAGTAATTTTAAGGAATTTCGAGTAATGTTAACGAATGTCGAGCAATTTTAATGAATTTCGAGTAATTTCAATGAATTTCGAATAATTTAAATGAATTTCGAATAATTTATTGATTGAATATTGAACATCGTAATGCTTGAGAATAATTGTGCGTTTGTAACGTGAACAGACTGATATTATTGATTATTATATCATTAAATAAAATATGAACATATTTGAACATATTTGGACATTATTATATCATTATAATATTAGTATTAGATTGTTATAAGTATAATAATTATTGATATTGGCTGTTTGATGAAGGCCTTCCTGATAACTGTGACTCACCATTCTAATTTGCAGGTGGTTTTTGTGGTGCTGAAACTGCTACCACCTGGCGACTCTGACGCCGGCGACTTTAACGCAGGTGAAACTAACCTAATTGAAGCATTGACAATCACAATAATGAATGTCCAAATTGTGATGTATTATCCCTCGGGGGTGCATTAACCCCCCATCTTCCTTACCCGCCAGGGGGCGCTGTTCTCTCCCAGACTGAGGGGACGGGCGCCCTCACGCTGGTCCCCCTGGGGGACAAGGTGGTGTTCTCATCCCCCAACTACCCCGACGATTATGACCCCTACCAGCACACCGAGTGGCACTTCAAGGTGATTATGGGGTGATGCGAGGGGTGATGATCTGGTGGTGGTGGTGGTGTGGTGGTGGTGGTGGTGGTGGTGGTGGTGGAGTTGGTGGTGGTGATGCCGCAATCAGAGAAATGAGTGAGGTTTTGTGCAAGTAGCGATGCATTTTTTGCCCTTATGACCTAATCCATCTTGGCTTGGCAAATGGACGTATAAGTGCTACGTGCGCTCTTTTCTCGTGCCGTGGGCAAGACAGTGTGTCACTTTTTGGACAAAATGATCCATTGATTGTTCTGCATTTTGTGGTAGTATTGGGTGGTAGTGGTTCTGGGTGATGGTGGGTGATGATTGGTGATGATGGGTGATGGTGTCGCCCTTTGCAGGCTCCTGCAGGGGGGCTGCTGACGCTGCTGTGCGAGCAGGTCTTCCTCAACTGGTTTGCTGAGCTGTACGCGGTGGACGGCAACACCACAGTCAGGTGGGGATGGAACCCCCGTCAGGGGAGGGGGTGGAACCCCTGTCAGGTGGGGGTGGAACCCCCGTCAGGGGGTGCAAGAACTTTGAGACCACGTGACATGACCAAGAATTTAAAAGTGAAGAAAAATGTCTGAAAATTCTTCTTGAAAACGGACAAACGTAGGAAAATTTAATTAAGTAAAAATAAAAATTCACATGGCAGTTATTAAAACCTAAATCACTAAATAAACGACAGGTTAATTTGCTATAACCACTTGGACACTGGCCTTCTAATTATCATTTTCAAGAGGACAGGAGCTGAAGCTAGGTTTCTCTTTGAAGCTAGGTTTCTCTTTTAATATATTAATTGATTGTAAAGTTCGACTAAAAAAGTCATAGAGACCGGTTGGAGAAGCTAAAATTGTGAAATTGCTATCGGAGACTTCTCCCGTTATGCTCCGCCAGTCTAGGATGAAAGTTGCGTGACGTCATTCCGGTGTAAGCTGATGCGCATTGCGCACAAATGAACATATAAACTAGAGAATGATGATCGCATAGGAACAGGAAGAGTATTTTTATACCATATAAAACTGCAGATTTGTAATTTTTTGACAATATTGCATGAAGGTTAACCTCAGGTAAGTATTTACTGATTAATCCTATTTGTTTCTATTGATGGAGATGTCATTTCCCGAGTATGGAAATGAACGTTAAACAACGTCACAACAACGCTAACCCTCGGAATCAATCTCAGTATATTGCTAACGTTTCGTAATTTGAGACTACTCGCCTGGTTTGACGGAAACCGATTTATTGAGAAAGCATGAAAGCCTCTGCAGCAGCTGCACTAACGAGCCTCTACACCTGCAGCAGCTGCACTAACGAGCCTCTACACCTGCAGCAGCTGCACTAACGAGCCTCTACACCTGCAGCAGCTGCACTAACGCGCCTCTACACCTGCAGCAGCTGCACTAACGAGTCTCTACATCTGCAGCAGCTGCACTAACGAGCCTCTACATCTGCAGCAGCTGCACTAACGAGTCTCTACACCTGCAGCAGCTGCACTAACTAGCCTCTACATCTGCAGCAGCTGCACTAACGAGCCTCTACATCTGCAGCAGCTGCACTAACGAGCATCTACACCTGCAGCAGCTGCACTAACTAGCCTCTACATCTGCAGCAGCTGCACTAACGAGCCTCTACACCTGCAGCAGCTGCACTAACTAGCCTCTACACCTGCAGCAGCTGCACTAACACTGACGTAAACTGAAAAAAATGGATGGGTCTATATGACCCACTTAGGTGAGTCAACCGAGTCCATACGTATATCGATGCACTTTTGTGACTCACTTGCCCAGTTTATGGGTCGTAATGGCTTATAATGGACCTTTAAATTTCATGTTTGACTCACTTGTGGCGATTTGCTTTCACAAATGAGTCAAACCTGAAAGTTAAAGGGCCATTAATAGGTCAGTATGACTCACAAATAAATCATTTCAAAAGTTCATCGATATATGGACACGGTTGAGTCATCAAAGTGAGTCATCCAGACCCACCCATTTCTCTAAGAAATGTAATGGCAAATAGAACTGTGAGATTCATCCAAATGAAGGAAGTTCTCTGCTTTGATTTCCATATTAAATTATAGAATTCAGAGCATTTAATCATTAGTGTATTGATTTTAATTACACTCTTGACTTGAAACGTTAATAAAACAGACCCTGAAACTGAGATGTCAGCCAAAAGGCTTTAATATATCGTACCAATAGCGTCAGCCAACGGTCTGGCGTCAGCCACTCACTTGGCTGCCGCCGAGGCTGGCGTCAGCCACTCACTTGGCTGCCGCAGAGGCTGGCGACGCAGGAGCGCTGACGCTGCACGGCGAACGCCTTGCCGGCTGACGTCTTCCTTGCGTCCTGCGGAGCAAGGCTAGTGTCAGCACTAGTGGTCAGTGTCAGCACTGTTTTTAAGCTGCTACTGACACTTCTAGTATGTCAACACTGACGGATTTCACTGCCAGCCTGTCACTAGTTTCACTACTCACGCTGCTAGTGACGCTGCTGCCACTAGTGACGGGTTTAGCTGGCACTAGTTTCTTGCCAGCGTCGCGCCTGCCACTCATGCAAGCCACTGAGTGGCTCTTAGTGACGCCGCTTGAGGAGTTGCCACTAGCCTGGGGGGAGGGGGTGGTAAATTTTTTATTATTTAATTATCGATGCATAAATAATATTTTGTCTCTGTATTTATGGAAGAAGAGGCACAAATGTTAGAGCCATGGCNGCCAACTGACCAATCAGAGGCTTTGGATTTGTTTACATTCTGTGAACTTCGATGGCGGGAATCGATGCCTTCGATGGTATCGACTATCGAATGCTGTCTGTCGGTATTGCTCCTTGTGGGCCCAGAAAAAGCAGTTCTAAAATAGTTGTGAACTCTTTTTAATAAACAGCGTGAGTTGCAGAAGAAATCTGCGTATGGAGCTAAAAATTATGGTTGGCAGAGATATGAAGTACCGACTAGAAGGAATGAATGATGAGAGTTGGGCGCGAAAGCTTTGATGTCGCGCTTGTAAAATATAACGTAATATGCATTTGCTTGTAAACTATAACGTAAAAGGAGAACAAAATCAGTTTCTGGCAATACCTCAATTGAATTTTTTTCCAATAGCACTGTTAAGCACGATCACATATTTTGATCGTGCAAATGTTGCACGATCAGGTAGTGGAGATATCACAAGTAGAGCCATCATTCTATGCGTGTATAATCCGTGCTGTCGGGTTATTGACAAAATTCTATCACAATTCAAGGTGTTGCTACTTGCTAGTAAATCAATAGTTTCCTATCGCTTCAGCAGACACTCTGAACTTGGGGAACTTCACTTACGACACCTCCGAGCAGGCGTACAGTTACGTTACGTATCTTCCCGCGCAAATGTTTTGATAATACCACCTCTAGAGTTACGCCATCAAGTCAGCACTTACGCCACTCGTAAGTCGATTTTGCGTACTTACGAAGTTTTGAAAATACGGCCCCAGGCATGCACCGTCACGACCATATACCAGTCGCTAACACTGCGACCAAGTGCTGTCGGCCATCCGTAAGATTACGGGTGATTTTAAGATACCTTCAGGACCAATTTCCGTCTATCTGACTCACTTTTCTGACCCATTTCCGTCTGTCTGACTAGTCACTTTTCTGACCCGTTTCCGTCTGTCTCACTCACTTCTCTGACCCATTTTCGTCTGTCTGACTCACTTTTCTGAAGTAGCTCCACGACGCCTAAAGTTCACTCTTGATCGCTGGCTTGATAAAACCCAAATATTTTCGACTATAACACTCAGAAAAACAAATGTGTCATTGACCTGATAACGACGCGCTTTTTTTCCACAGTGAGTGCGAAAGCGGCCGGTTGTCCCTTGCTTACACACCCATTTTTCGGGCCAGCTCGGTATGGATGACCCACACAACGATAAAAAATATAACTCAGTACTCACTGCAGTGAGTGACAGAGAGCGCATTTTCTCGACGACGAAAACTGGAGGTCACGGACAGACGGACGGACAGTCGGACAGACAGACGGACATGGCGAGCACAATAGTTCATATTTTCCATAAATGAGAAAATGCGCTAAAAAGGGCATCGCGGTTTGGGCATGATCTCATTTATTTATTTGAGTGTAGGTATAATGCATAAATTCAAACCCACCTGCAAAACTGCCGATTTTTCTTTCCTCAGCGACGCCATCTTGAATTCGTAAAATTCACCAACCTGTTGTCGAAAATACCAACGCCAAAAATTTACTACCGGTCGTTAGTTTGTGAAAAAGTTATTTCGCCGCGAATTTGTTTTCGGAACTCCGCTGAATTAAAAATTCACGAAGCGTTTGAGTAATGCAGCTCTACCTGGGCTCGGAAATTTTGGTAAAAATCTGGAAAAAAATAATATTTTTAATATTTACTACATTTACTATATTTTCTATTATATAATATATTTAATTTACTTTTTACTTATATTATATTTAATGATCAATGTTCATTCAAAAAGTTAGACATCACGACAGTCCACCGTGTGACCACATCACGACAGTCCTCCCACATCCATTCACTTCACACCCACATCCATTCACTTCACACCCACATCCATTCACTTCACACCCACATCCATCCACTTCACACCCACATCCATCCACTTCACACCCGCATCCCTTCATTTCACACCCACATCCATTCACTTCACACCCGCATCCATTCATTTCACACCCACATCCATTCACTTCACACCCACATCCATTCACTTCACACCCACATCCATCCACTTCACACCCTCATCCATCCACTTCACACCCACATCCATTCATTTCACACCCACATCCATTAATTTCACACCCACATCCCTTCATTTCACACCCACATCCATTCACTTCACACCCACATCCATTCACTTCACACCCACATCCATTCATTTCACACCCACATCCATTAATTTCACACCCACATCTATTGTCATAAATCCATTCATCAATTTCATTCCAGATGCGTGTAGGTCTGAACAAAATAGTTCGTTTCGTGACTTCATTGAAATTGTAAGCATCGTAACAAGGGGCCATACTTTCAAAACTCGCTAAGTGATCGCAAGTAAGTACTTTATACGCTCTATTTTCTTGTCTATGATTGGTGGATTTGGCTTGGATGGCCGTCAATGATTGGCGGATGAACTTACGATTTCTCAACTTTTTTTGAAAGTATAAGCCCAGGTCAGTTATGTTCGATTAAATTTACTGCATAGTTCGCAACGGTCAATTCCAAGCATGTATTTGAGTTTTTTGCCTAACATCACCTGCAGGTGATGTTGGTGATTACAAATTATTTATGTAATCACCAACATCACCTGCAGGTTTTTTGCCGTGGCTTGAGGACAACATCGCGGATGGGATGATGTGCACCCCACCGGGATGACGGAGGGGTGAAAAGAGAGGTCTCTGTCTCCTGGAGAGGTCTCGGATCTACCCACCCCTTCTCTACTATCTACTTGGCTACAACTCGAACTACCGTAGCATTAGGAAGTATAGAAACTGCTGCTTTAGAAGTTAGATTAAACCTAGGTATATAGATTAGCTTGAAATGTACAATTTAAAATCTCGGATCTACCCACCCCTTCTCTACTATCTACTTAACTACAACTCGAACTACAGCAGCTGAACGAAGTATAGAAACTGCTGCTTTAGAAGTTACATAAAACATAGGTTTATAATTTAGCTTGAAAATGTACAATTTAAAATCTCGGATCTACCTCTTCCCTATTCTCTACTATCTACATACTTAGCTACAACTCGAACTACAGCAGCTTTAAGAAGTATAGAAACTGCTGCTTTAGAAGTTACATAAAACTTAGGCATNAGCCTGATGGCATCAACCGGCTGGTGTCAGCCTGATGGCATCAACCTGCTGGTGTCAGCCTGATGGCATCAACCTGCTGGTGTCAGCCTGATGGCATCAACCGGCTGGTGTCAGCCTGATGGCATCAACCGGCTGGTGTCAGCCTGATGGCATCAACCGGCTGGTGTCAGCCTGATGGCATCAACCGGCTGGTGCCAGCCTGATGGCATCAACCTGCTGGTGCCAGCCTGATGGCATCAACCTGCTGGTGTCAGCCTGATGGCATCAACCTGCTGGTGTCAGCCTGATGGCATCAACCGGCTGGTGTCAGCCTGATGGCATCAACCGGCTGGTGTCAGCCTGATGGCATCAACCGGCTGGTGCCAGCCTGATGGCATCAACCTGCTGGTGTCAGCCTGATGGCATCAACCTGCTGGTGTCAGCCTGATGGCATCAACCGGCTGGTGTCAGCCTGATGGCATCAACCGGCTGGTGTCAGCCTGATGGCATCAACCGGCTGGTGTCAGCCTGATGGCATCAACCGGCTAGTGTCATCCTGGTGGCATCAACCTGCTGGTGTCAACCTATCAGATCAACCAGGGAACACGAAGCGACACTCAATGAATAATGCTAGTCAGTCCATCAACATACACTGACGGTTCGTCGTCGCTAGATGACGTTGATCCAGAGACTTCTACAAGAAATCTCTTTGTGGCAAACGCTCAAGTTTTCTGATACGCGCGTATCTAAAGAATCAATAATCAGAAGTAATTAATCGCGAGTAGTTATTGAGGAACGCAAGGTGAACGAAGCTGGAAGGTAGGCTATCAACGCAATTTCCACGATTCAAACTTGTACGAGATTTTGCAGTTAGACGTTCGAAGTTCTAATCTGCTAAGGAATGAAGCCAAGTGAATGTACAATGGTAATGTTCAGCCAATGCGAAAATGGGCGAGGCTTCACCAAGGATAAAGCTACCTATACTCTCCATTATATTTAGACATAAATAATAATCATTATATTGCTTTATTAAGAACACATATAGGAAAATGAATTGTATATAAACAGGAATACTGTATGTCACACACAAAATATATGTTTCCGGGTACATACCTAGGCTATGTCTCAGGTACGATGTAAACTGGGGTAAGCGACGTCGGTATAGTATAGAGGGGTATAGACTTATAATAGATTGACGTAACTATAATATTGAACGACATAGGCATGATTTAGAATGACATTGATACATTATAGCATCAAATGGGTATATTGTGGCACGACTTAGGCATGTAAGACAAAGGAATGCTAGCAGCGCGTATGAGTCTTAAGGTCTAACTCGTGCAAACATTTGCTTCCACCAATAGCACTGTGGTTCGGCTAACCGCTAAGGCATGTAAGTCAGTGACCAGTCAGCGCTGGCATCTTTCAATCGCGTGGGGGCGCAGCCGTAGGCCACAAATTTTACTCTTAATTAAGCCCTGGAGCCAACGCCTAGCTTCACCATGCATTAACTTTACTCAGCCTCAGAGCTAGAAGCCGCAGACTACGCTTGAACTCCGTATCCAGACAAGCGACACACTGCCGAAAGATAATACTGCTCTGGCCTTACCTATTCACGCTGTCCCGGCTCACATCCTTCTAGCAGCCAATGACTGGCTCTACCCGCACACTTGGACCGCCTTTCTAACTTCTTGCAGCCAATGAGGTTAGGTTAAGTCCGCTCAGGTTTGTTTTGGGTGGAGAAAGGTGGCAGCTCGTATAAGTTAGGCCTGAAGAGGTTATGCCAGAGGAGGTTTGGCCAGATGCAGTATGGCCATGTTTACCTTTGGCAAGCTTATTTTGTGGCTGTGGACATCCGGCGCTATTGCTTTGAGCACTTGACTTCATAGGCCGTTATGCACTCTAGCGTTCTTACCTATGGAAAGGAATATGAACCAAGTGTGAAATTTGGCAAAGCTGGCCTCCGGCATGCGCCCCAATCGCCTTTCGTATTGATGCAGGAAACACGGTAATAGTTCTCCTAATTATCTGAATCTAGGTCAGGAGACCAGATTACGTACTGTATTGCAGATACGCAAATTATTATGACAACTGGAGTTGATTGATGTTGTGACGTCTGAGGTTTGCTAATATTATGAATATGTAGCTAATTCATAGTTAACAGTATTCCAATTGCAGTTGATAATTAATGACGATGCTTAATGCAATAACAAGATAATACTATTGAGTAAGAGTTGATGGGTAACACCGCTAGATTTTAAAATGTTGCAACGTTTCTAGAAAATGAGTTACGGTGGTAACTGGAGGGAATATATATACATGGTCGCTACAGGTATAATATATCATAACATGGCTTAGGAATAAGAAATTAGGTATATCATAGACATAATATAGAGAAACACGAGTATTATAACCAGTTCTCTTTGATGACCTCAACCACTCGCTCTTCCGCGGCTTGTTCTTCCATCCTGTGCGAGACCTGCAGCCTGAGTTCAATTTTCTTGTGCAAATTTGCTAGCCTCTGTCTTCTCGTATCACTAGTGGATTCAGCTATTTGTTTGATTTTGATTTGATTCAGCTATCAGTTGTGGTGCAGTTGTGGTACAGTTGTGGTACAGTTGTGGTACAGTCGCGGTACAGTTGTGGTACAGTTGTGGTACAGTAGTGGTACAGTTGTGGTACAGTTGTGGTACAGTTGTTGTACAGTTGTGGTACAGTTGTGGTACAGTTGTGGTACAGTTGTGGTACGTTGTGG